AAAAAGGCGAGTTAGAGGAGACGATATTTAGTAAAATTACGGTTATCAAAACATTTGCATAGTCAACAATAGTACATATATCCATAATGTTGGTGTTCCAAGAACATGTCTGGCACTATCATTGACATCAAATCAAAGTTAAGGAGATAGAGATATTTTTGATACCTTAATTAAAACGGGTACACCATGCCTTTCCGTAAATGGCAAAGACAACTAACAGAGCTTTTGCTTTGGTAGGATGTATTTAATCGCTACAGAAAATGTAAGAGAGAAACTAAATTAATAGAATTCAACTGTAAATATACACATGAAATTAGTTATACAAAAGAGCAACATTTAGACGTCCATTTATATGTAATATGCTTCTTAAGAATTTATATTTATCTGTACTTTCTGGTTGATCAGATAAAAAAAACCCGCACGCTTCAATACAAATGACTTCTTCAAATCATGTGAAATTTGTGAATCATGAAATGGTATCGAATTTTTTCAATTGCCGAGGGCACACAATGCAACACTTCACTTCCTGCATGAATGACATGGGCACCGATAACAACAACTATTGCATTATATTTACACAGTGTTACTTCAATGGGAACCTTGTGGTAAAATATGCAGCAACCTAGATGTATGGCACCCTTTTCTAGTTCACTGTCGTCGAGAATACAGGATTCACGCTTTGCACAGAGTCGTAGACAGTGTATACTGTATAGCAATGATATGTTTCTTATTTGTAAGGGGCGGTCGGGTAGCCTAGTGGTTAAAGCGTCACGCCCATTTCTGTTGTCCCCTGCTGTGATATTGCTGGAATATTGCTAAAAGCGGCGTAAAACGATACTCACTCACTCACTCTTATTTGTAAACACATTAAATTCAATTCAAGTCTGTTAAATAAAATTAAGTTGTAGTTGTGCTAGGATCCGTTGTTCGTGGATTCGTGGGTGGTGGATCATTAGCCATTGGTTGTCATGTCTACACCCTCTTGGGTGTCACGTGTTTAATGTGATACGATGATTAGAAAATAGTGCAAAGGTATTCTTCACTCAATGTATTTGCAAGCAACACGTGTTATCCTCAACATCTATTAAGCCTTATATCAGCACAGATGAGTTAAGCTTATGTACATACAAAAATTAAAACAACAACAATAGCACTACATATGTTCTCTAAACTCTGAAACATAATCTGCCTTCCTTTTTAACAATGCTTGCACATACAAAGTAAATATTAGCACCAGGTCAATATTACACACTCACATTTCAACATTCACCCTTATTTAAGGTTTGACAGTCTAAAGTATCTCCAGTCTGGTATGGTATATAGAGCCTGACATATAGGTTCTGCTGCCTTAAAGCAATGAGACTTTGATGACTATTTCACTAGGTATGCTGGGTGCATCGCATTCGCCTAACCTGCTGCAAATGTCCCTGGAAGTTGTTGGATAAGACAATTAAGACGTTCATGTATATCGCCTCAACCAGTTCACGAAGTGCCTCCAAGTGGATGAAAGCACCAGAATTATCTGAACACAGTTCTATATTACAGCCCTGAAGTGAATGTACCTGTAGCAGATATGTTATGATCTTATTAACTGATCCTTCATCCAGTGTCAGTTGCTTCTCTATCTTGCTGGCCACATCGACGCTAAGCAGGGGCGGAGCTGAAGATAATTTCAATCATTATCACATCCTTGTACATAGATGAAACAATTATCATTAAGTGCGCAAGGGTCAATTATGTATCAAAATGATAAATTATATAAAGAATTGAAATATTGATTTTTCATTCATTAAGGATTTTCATAATTTTTATTTATGGATCACGAAACGAATTTTAATCCATTGATTAAAAGGTGTATGAAAACTCTTTTTTGTCAGCATTATACTGATAATAATTTGCTTTGACATAAACTGGATATGCAAATCGGGAAACACGTACGATTCGGAAAAAAAACGTACCCGGTGTATTAACAAAAGGGACATGGAGCTGCTAGAACTGCAGGTGCAGCAGCTATATTAACGGTAACTAAGTGCGGGGTTTTTGATTGCCAATCGAACAGTGACAGTTTAACAACATGCGAAGATTAACATCGTTCCCAATTGCGTGGATCGATGCTCATGATTTTAATCACTGGATTGTCTGGTACAGGCTCGATTATTTACAGACCGTCGTCATATAGCTGGAATATTGCTGAATGCAGCATTAAACAGCAAACCAAACAAACACATTGAAATACTATTGACAAGACTGTGACAAGAGAGACGACTTCAACTTTCCAAGTCAACTTTCTCTGTATATGGAGCAATATGAAAGCTGCTTCAGTCTTAGGTTTCTACATTTGTCAACGAAAAATCGAAGATTTCAAAGTGTGTGTTGCTTAAAATTTGTTTGTAAATTATTCAACCATTCAGGACCTTAGATGAGTTTTCGAATATTTGCCGTGTGATTTCAAAGAGTTTGTACGACGCAAGTACATATTTTGACTTGTACCGCATCATCCTGGTTTTGTCTGGGGAACAAGTGCACTGACTTTGCTGAAGTGTGTATGGGAGGGTTAAGCAGGATATGATCACCTCTCCGGTCAACACCTAGTATTATCTGATAGTTATTTGATATATATGTATACACAATCATGATTATCACATAGTCGTATAATCATATAATCATAAATCGAGTGTGCGTTCAGCAGATAGTTCTTATGATTACGGAAAGGGTTCCGACGCTTTTATGTTCTATTGTCCAGAATATTGCTAGTTATTATACTGTCCCTCGTCGACAGTTTTTATACCTATTGTATAACTTGTTCAAGTCACATTATGGCTGAAATATTGCCGACGTGACTTTAATTAAACTTACTCACTCACTCACTCACTATTGTCCAGACAATACAAATACATGACTGACTGTATAAGCTATGATCCATGCCATTTCCATGGACCTTTCCTGTGCCGAGTAGTATGCATTTTATTAGAAAGTGCATGGTTTCTTCATTCATCAAACTTTAAATCATTAAGCATTCATCTACATTACTTTCGAACTCAAAGTATTTGCCTCAAATGAAAACACATACTTGTTTTTGTAAACCTCTTGAAATGCAGTTTTGAAAAATCAGCAGATTTTTGTTTGGATATCATCTCTCTTGTACACATACATTACATGTCACGAACATTACTTTTTAATTATGATTTTAATGTATTCTTTATTAATCATTGTGTTATTTGATGAGGTTCAAGATTTTAATTGAAATGTCATAAAGTCGAATGTGTTTATTAATGTACAGAACAGGCAGATAATGAGGTTGACGTTGTAATATTGTTACGAACATGTTTTAAAACCTTGTGTCATGGTTTTGTCGTTCAAGTTAGCTATTATTGATCATGTGGTCAGACTCGAATATAAATGTTGTGAGGAAGGTGGCGCAATGCTGACTACAGCATAACATAAACAAGCACTATCAGACATGTATCAAAATGTAACATAATTACGAGTTTAGATAATAACTTGAACCTGAATGCTTTGTTTTGTTTCAGTTCTCAACTATTCAACATTGTAAAGACAACCGTCAAGGTGACTTGTTTCGTATAAAGCTTTAGTGTCATTAGTTTGGTAGGATTTCCCAATACATAGTTGACTCTGGATACCTGTGTTGTCAGCATGAATGAAGATAATGGTTGTAATGTTTAATACATGTTCACATACCGCCGTCATAGGGGTGGAACATTGCTGAGTGCGGCGTTAAACAACAAACAAAGAACCACAATCAAACATGTTTACCTATCAAAGAGCTGAAATATTGCTGGGTGCGGCGTTAAACAGCACACAAACAAAATCAAACATGTTCACCTATCATCTAGCAATCGTTAAATAAACACTTGGTTAGATCGCCTCTGTGGTATAGTGGATTGAATGTCAGCGGGAGAGCGGAGAGTCGTTAGTTCAACCTCCAATACTAAAAGACGTTAAAGGTTGGCAGTTGGTGTTCCCCTTCCTCGCGATCGTCATTACAGGCATAGAACAAGGGTCGGTTGGGTCGAAGTCAGTACACTGTGCCTGAGTAGGGTGATCTCCCCGAGGCAAGGGAGTTAGCTGACTTTAACAGTGGAAACTGGACTTTTAAAGTCAGTTAGCTCCCCTGCCCCGGGTAGATTGTTGATTGGATATCCTTTTCACCAAGCACCCTTCCGCACAGAAGCGATCGTAAAATCTCGTGAAATTTGCTTATCTTCAAACGTTTTTCATCATTATTAGAATTGTGTCGATGCATCGAAATTTTCCACTGTTTGAAGCTTTATATCATTAACTGGCAAAAATGCTAGGGACTTACACTGATAACGAGCTATATGAACACTAATGTACGGCCACAAGTTCACAATCACAAGGGCACTGATGACAGCTACTAATACAATCTATAATCCCCGTTGTTCCTGAGTGGCAACATGGTGGTGCAATATGCAGCAATCTGGACACGCTTCTAGTTGACTCTCGCCCAGATCACAGCCTTCAAGCCTTGCATCAAGTCGGAGACAGTGTATAGTGTATGACAATTATTTATTTCTGATTTGTAAACACATTGATTTCCCATTTTATTCTTCAAATTTATTTTCCTCTTTTCTGGATATATGAACAAGGGATGTTATTTATGTACATACCAAAACTACAAATAAACATGCAAATAACCGCACTGTAATGCTCTCTGCAGTCATCCTACACTCTACCTTACCTTGCATATACAACAATATAAGCATTGTGTCTGGACCCAAATATTTACAGTCAGACATGCAGATCCGAATGCATTGCCGTGTCTAGCCTGATATGTATACAGTCAGACATGGTATATAGTTCCTACTGCTTCACCTTGCCTAGCTAGCCTGAGTTATATACAGTCAGACATGGTATATAGATCCTACTGTTTCACCTTGCCTAGCTGACCTGGGATATTTACAGTCAGACATGGTATATTGATCCTACTGCTTCACCTTGCCTATCTAGCCTGATATATATACAGTCAGACATGGTATATAGATCCTACTGTTTCACCTTGCCTAGTTGGCCTGAGATATATACAGTCAGACGTGGTATATAGATCCTACTGCTACACCTTGCCTAGCTGGCCTGGGATATTTCAATTCAGACATGGTATATTGATCCTACCGCTTTGCCTTGCCTAGCTGGCCTGGGATATTTACATTCAGAGAAGGACAGGCTGGAAAAATGCTGACTGTGCAGTAAAGCAACATTCACCCATCCATTCGACAGGCTAAAGGCTAAAGGTATTTTGGATGAATACATGCCAATGGCGTAAGTTGCTCTGACATTTGCCGGTTAGAGGGTTTCAATCGTTAATTCTGAAAAAAAAGGTTCGCTGAATATTCTTCGACATGCACCTAAACAGGTGATCCAGTTTGCTCATTTGCGCCAAAGTCGCCTCCATTTCTGGCCCTGGAAAGATCAACACAACAATTAAAGTATGGATGTCATACGATATCGTGAGTTTCACCGAACTGGTCAGAAAGAGTTCAATATGAATCACCTGATTTGTTACCTTTCGGTCCTGGTCCGCATATTTGAGCACCTCTTCAAGTATTGTGAGCAGTTTCCCTGCTGGCACTTTTAACCTGGTCTGGACATCGTTTTGCAAAGCAGCTGTCCTGTTGTTGAATTGTTCTTGTATCCTCTGTCTAACCTGTAACCCTGCGCCTTGTGGTGGTGCATCTCCTCTAGAGGTATTGAGTGAGTCTATATTTGAACATCAAGACATGCTTAACAGATGTTGTTTAAAATATTATATGCATTAATGGTTAAAGAAAAACAATATGTTTGTTTGTGTTTATCATTGCAACTTACATTGCAGCTTACAGCCACATTGACTTTTCCATTAAATCACTACCGTATACAAAGATTTTACAGAAAACGATCCCCTGGCTTAGTCTCTCCTGACATTACAAAACTTCCATTGTAAGTCCTATGATTAAACAGATTCAATAGAAACTTACAGTTCTCCAGTATCTCTGCAGTCTGAAAAATACGACAGCAGATATAAATAAATATTTATATTAATACATACAGAACATCAGTTTATATTTTATATAACTAATACGATTATTTCGTTTCTTCCTTTATTCTCCCCATCACAAAACTATAGCTCCCATTCCTGGTACTTATCTGATAACTAAACAAGAAATGTTGAAATACGCAAACCACTACGAAGTTCTGTTGAAGACACGAACCGCATTTGAACAGATACCATGTATTTTTATATTTTGCTTGTTGTAATGGTTTTTTTCAAATACCATGATTTGCCTTTATATGGAATCATATGTCATCCTTTTTCATGTTTATTTGAAACATAAACATTAACATTTAACTCAATTCTAATAAAATTCAATATACATGCATAGAAACTGCCTATTGTAGAGTAAAGAATTGCATTCGGAATCATGTACGATAGTTTCCGTCTCCAGGTTAAAATCGAAACAGTGCTTAGATACTGAAACTTTTAACCACTGTACTCATGATGTGCTACATACCAACATTTGCAGAATAAAGCAGTATGGATGGTTGTGATCGCAACCGATTAAAGTCACCAATTTCTAGTTTTTATCCCGGTGCCCTGTAGATAATCGAATCTAATCCAAATTATCGGTTACTGAAAGCCAAAGTAATATTATTTTGGCCTACCCTGTGAAAACAGTACCACAAACACGTCAGAATACCCTATAACTTATTGGGAAACAATGTCTTTTAACTCAAGCCTATAAATCAGAGTTACTGTGGTAAGCGAGGTGCATGAGCTCCTCTCAGTGATCTATCATCTCCACAGACAATGTCATTAAATAAGCCATTTTATGAAAGCATTCCTATTTTCAACAAGATATTTTTAATGCTGTTTATTGGCTACTTATTATGCCAGTATCTTATTAAGATGCAAGTATGGAAATATGTAGGCACACTTTAAAATATATGGTTGATGAAAAAGTATAATATCAAAATGAATTCTGCTACATTTGGTTCCTTGTCAAGTTCTTCAAGAACAGCTTCGAGTATCCTAGGTAGTTGCACCAGTAACTTCCACTTTGTCTCCACCTCCCGTTGCAAGTCAGTTGTCACCCCCTCCATTTCCTTTTTCATAATCCATAATCTGTCTGAAATATCCCAGTGGAAAGGTTTGATGTAGAGACACATCTACACTCAGAAACTGAGCCTTCAGGATAATTACACCCGAGGACATATATATGTATACAACATGACATACGTTGTACCCATGTTGCGATATTCCGGAAATACGTTACTCTGGACGGTTTAATTGGGTTTTCACAGTGCATATATAGTATATACAAAAGTTGACAGTTCTTCAAAACTGAAATGTCTCAGGATAACTACTACTGACAACATATACATATGAAAGTATGTTACTTTTGGATCGTTTCTTTTCCAGATCGCCTTACTGCCATAATTATTGGGTTTGTTCACTTACGTCTAGCAGAGTTGTTCTCTAGTCTGTTGGCATCACCTCCAAGAGAGTCGCCTTCACCCACTTCTATACTGGCATCACCTCCAAGAGGGAGGTCTTCGTCTACTTGCTTGCGTAGATCGCTAACAGAACGTTTGTTTACCTCCTCTGAAAGAAAGTAAAGTTACCATGCAACAAGTATCAACCTTCCATAATAAAATTAGACATACATATATCAATCAAATAACACAAGGAACAGTGTCCAAACAATTCTATATCACGTTTTGACATTCTCATAATACTAAAGTGCGTACATGTGAAACATTTACCTTGGTCACCACCGAGATGTATTGACCCCTGGTCTCGTTCTCCCTGTGATTGACGACCCGAAGTCTGCTAAAATAATAAACAAAATACTTGCATTAATAGCAATAAACTCCTGCTATACACTTGTGGTACAAAGTCACAGATAGTTTCAATTTAAAACCACACTGCAACCTCTTTCTAATTTTTCATATCTTAGTTGATTTGTGACACGTACATACCTTGAAGCCGTATTCTTGCACAAGGATGTCTCCAAGTTTTGTAAATGTGGGTCTATTAATTTGAGTATCAAGATGACCTGACGTAATAAAGAGCTTGTCCGTGTACTTAAATCTCAATGCACAATCTGGAGCAAAGCCACGACCATAGGGCTGTAACGTGGCGAGGGCAGTGAAGAGAATAACATCCTTGCAGCTGGGATCACCTGAAATGAAAATCTGTTGTATCTTGTAACAGATAAATTAATGGCTCCAATAAAATAATTACGTTAATGTTATCAACATAACACTTTAACAACATCCATCTCAACTCATTACATCCACAACAAATCTTACCTTTATCAAGGAAAGGTAAAACCACGCCATCAAATTCATCGTTCGGTCTGCCTTGAGGCCGAAATATCACGATGAGCGGCAGTGAAACAGTGGAGGAGGCTTCCCTGTTCAGCTCAACATGGAGAGACAGTTGGTCAAGGAAAGACTTCTTGAGTTTGTCAGAAGATGTGCAAGGCAAAATATGAAGCTGCAGTGACATATCTAGAACAGATTAGGCGAAAAAACATAAAAAAATGTCTTCGTCTGTGGTCTATGACATTCGGTTTTGAAGGGAACATTACTTTTATCAAGTTGCTTAATGTTTTCTGTCGGTGAAAGATCTCATTATAATATTCCACAGGTGTCATCCTTCAACATATCAAGTTCCAAGACGTTCAGTTCTTGCCATGATGACTGTAGGTATCTGATGAATACGTTTTCAAATTTAACTACACTTTCCAAAATTCAGTTAACAGGTAAGAATGTGAAAACAACACTTTTTCATAATTTTACTCTTTTTCTCCATATCTGCATATATAAACTACTTTAGATCTTTTAAGGAGTTCATCAGCTCATAACTGTTTTAGCATGTCACTTTATAATTGGAGACGGTAAGTCTTCATTCATATTCTTTAAAATATGTACGTAACTACGAGTTCCGAAAATACGGTTCTTATAAACGAGTGGACCGATCGGTGTGGAAATGAAAACTTTATGATTTTTACTGTTTACGAACTATTCACAGATGAAAAATTAATTCGCCACGAGAATGAGTCACTGTTCACAAGCCTATTTCAACCAGTGCAAAACTCTGGTAAACAATTAATGATATGATGCTGTATCTAATGAATGTATTACAAAGTCAGAGAGTTTGACTGCGTGCTCGTTCACATATATCTTCGCAAAACATCCCAGTGACACAAAAAATGCACATCCAAACTATTAGTATCGACTCGACTCCTGTCCATGCAGAAAGATACAGTACAAATCATTGATTTTACCTTAGTTAACACATGTTTACAATCACCTTTAATGATTGCACGTCTTAGTTTTATATGACGTTTGTTACGAAGTGCTGTAATTGTGACAGACTAATTGAGGTAGTTTGTAAGAGACCTTTCTCTTCTAAAGATGACATTATTGGATTATGATTGTTGTAAACAAACTACAAAATATGTCTCTGAAGAACAATGTAAGCAATCTAACGTTCATATCACCTCTCGTGAAACTACTTCATTCTGTAAAACAGATGGCTGTTGTATGGGTGTCAGTTTAAACATGAGGTCACGCGTACCAAATAAAATTGTGTTCAGAACTACATCCTTTGATGTAAAATATAGTGATATATAAAATATAAGAATAAAATTTCACTTTGAACGAGTAAGCTGTATGAACGTTGTAGCTTCCTAAATGATGACGTCAATGTATTATGTTATGGGCTGATGGACTGAAAGGAGAGAAAGTACTTCTCGGCTGAGTTGCAAAATGCCAATCACTTGTAAGCCGTGTTCAGCGATTCGCCTCACAACAGGGCGCAACCTTTCAGCCGCTTGGAATCGCACCAATCGCTGGCCGAGGTCGCTTCAATCTAACATCCTAGCATCCCAAGTCTGCTCCAGAGTAGTCATCAATAGTCATAAATCCATCGGCTCATGAATCGAGCCTCTTCTATTTCTTTCTGCCTTTAGGCAAGGTAACCGATCGGTAGTGGCGCAGCTATTGTGGATGAGCGAGCTAAACGTTTGGAGCTGTTGCAGACCCCCGGATGAGCGATTAATTTGTGTATTCTGAATGATTCTTGTCCACATGTAAACGAGGACATTCTGACATCACAGTTACTTCACCTACATGTATTTAAGCATTGACTATGCATTTTGTTCGGTTCATTGAAGTGTGAATCGAAAAACCGATGTGCAAGCTGTTTGAATCCCTCGAGTGTAATATTGGATTCCCAGACATTCTGTACTAGAGATTATTTTACCTTCAGTACAATACGTGGCCTTTCATAGATAATGAACAAATCAACTAGAAAGCAGGAGTAATTCATGAACACAATGACCATTGAATTATAAATATAATATCTATGCAATCAATTACTGACGTCATACCTACATAGATGCAAACACCTGAAAATGCCTCCTTGCGCACCAAGTAAGTAATTATATGTTATAATACAATATTAACAGTGCGTTAAGCAGAAAGAACAATATATATATATGAACTGCAAATAAGCGAACGTAAAAGGTTCGTTCATGTGCTTCGCGTACGATGGGAGTTTATTATTATAGCATTATAATATGAGAGATGAACAGATAACAATACTTGCTCTGATTTATCCCCGCTAACAACACAGGCGTCCAGAGAAATAACAAATGACTGAAAAGCTTACAAGAGTAATGACACGAAAGCTTTACACGAAAGAGACAGATCACTATGAATTTGTTCTTTTCATGTTGCTTAGTTAGGTGATTTTTATAAACAAGGCTTGAAATATTCTCGTTTACCCATGATATGGACAAACATACATGTTCAGATTCTACATATGGTCAAAATCTAGTTTCAGAAACAGTGTTGGTGAAAGTAACTCACCCATCACGGCAGCTGCAGAGAAACGTAGATATTCGCTGTAAGATTTGTCAGCTTGTCCGGTGTTACACACACTCCAGCTGGGATGAGTCTACTTGTTTATACCGCTCCTCGAAACCTGATTCAGTGAATGTGTCACGTTGGTAATTATTCGTAGGCCACATTACAACGTAAGTAAACATATCTCTTACATTTGGTGTATTATCATAGATCAAGCCACACACACACACACACACACACACACACACACACACACACACACACACGCATATATAATAAATATATGCCTGATGACGATTTTGTCGGCGCATCAGTAAAGCATGAGCTTGATGCAAACTGAAATAACTTTTGCTATACAACAACTTGATTCATTCCTATTTCGCATTTGACATGCTGTTCACAACAGAACTATTATTCTACCAGTTAATGTTATCTTTGTGAGTGCGCCTCATGTGAAGTACTACGATACAAAAACTATCGTCTCCCGTTTAAATAAGTTTCTCACACAGTGACAATTCAGAGACACCTAAGTATCCCAAAGCCCGCTAAACTAATGCCATCAAAGCTCTAAACAAAACTTAATTTCTTTATTGGATTAAGTAATTTTGATCAGAATCTATTTTATTCTTGTAGTTTTATAATCACTATTAAAATATGTAACTCACCTACGCCAACTGTTGTAGCCAGGCAATACAGACACACCTGTATGTTCGCTTGAGCTTGTCACTGCTATCAGGTTTGTGGGCGTGTCAGGCGTTGCACCTCCTACCTTGAAATCAACCCAGACAGACCGGTTTATACCGCCGACCCTTGTATCCAGTTTCAGTGAATGTTTAATCCTAGACCTGGTACAACGTGTTATTCCCTGCAGGCCACATTACAACGTTAGTTAACACATCACTTGACACATCACATCATCCGTTGTTAGAAACATTTATAGTTAGAAAAATCTGTGGATGGATTTAAGCCTTTTGTTACACGTTAATTGTTTTAGCAGATAGTGTTTATCTATGTATCAAGCGATAACATGTCGTATGGTACTGACTATGACTATTGGATGTTAGATAGGCCGATGATAGGCCTGTTGACCATTGAGTGAAATATGAAATTATTTAATGTAGTTATGAGGCAGTGATATATGGTGTATAACCATTCATATGAATATATACCAGGTGATGATTTTCCCTTTTTTCAGCTAATCAATAAATCATGAGCTGGTTGGGCTATGGTAAGTATACATTCGTTTTGATGTCAACTAAAATCATCGGGAGACCATCAGGCAATATTTCACTCAGCAAATATTCCAGCTATATGACGGCGGTCTGTAAATAATCGAGTCTGGACCAGCATCAATCGACGCCATTGGGATCGATGACATGCACCAACCAAGTGAGATACCTTCAACTATCATATCATGTTGCATTTGTATTGCAGTCTACAACAGAAGTATATCCATACAAGGTGATATTATCTTAGATAATGTGCGTTATGTGGATACATTTTGAAGTTAGAAGATTATCGTTCATTTAAATAAAAAACAAACATTTCACAGTGATTCAATTCAACACCGACTTCATAATGTACACATATTTATTCTACCAGCTATTGTTTCACACACAGTTTGGCATGAAATAAATATGTGACATGGTTACCACTCGCCTCGAATAATCTATCACTAACATAATGTATATGGTTCCCTTACAGTTCCCAAGGGGAAGGTAAGTGACACGTGCACTGAAGATACCTTGTAGTCAGAGATAATATAAATTAAAAAGCAGTATTTCCCTTGAGGAAGGTTGCAATAAGTTATGACTGACAATGCAAACAGGAAGCAATTAAAAATAATCTAAAATCTATAATGCATGCCATTTGGGCAGCGAAAGTATTGTGCAATTGGATGCTCATATTGTTAAGTGGAGTTCTGTTGCTATTCAGCTTATTTTTGTACTTTTAAAACACAATTAGCTTATATTAACCTGATATTTTTGTTTGTTTGTTTGTTGTTTAACGCCGCACTCAGCAATAATCCAGCTATATGACGGGGGTTTGTAAAACCATCGAGTCTGAACCGGACAATCCAGTGATTGACATCATGAGCATCGATCCACGCAATTGGGATCGATGACATGCATCAACCAAGTCAGCGAGCCTGACCACCCGATCCCGTTAGTCGCCTTTTACGACAAGCATAGTCGCCTTTTACGGCAAGTATGGGTTGCTGTAGACATATACTACCCCGGAATCTTCACGGGTCTAACCTGATATTCATTTCTTTTTCTATTTATGTTGCGTACATCTAATGGTCGGATTAGTTGCTGGATATCGACACTACATTGCACCTCATATTAACATTATTATTTAGACTTGTTTTGTATATTTGCATTTAGATGTTTGTTTGTTGTACTTTGACATTGTATATGTGTTTGAATGTTTGCTAAGTTATGCTGCGAGTTCGACCACAAGATCAATTCTAGTCAACTCTAGAACACCAAGGACCTATTTTGATCCGGAATCTCCTCTAGGGTTTTGACAATTTGAAAACGTACACATTTCAATCTCATTATCTACCTGTTCTGTACACAGATAAACTGTCAGTATAAAAATACTTGATCTTAATACATTCCAAATAACACATGTATAATGACACAATTACAACTTTACAAATAACTCATGAATGTGTATAAGAGAAATTCTATTGAACGTAAAAGCTGCTGATGGTCAAAACTGCATTTCATCAGATTTAAGAAGAAAATGTCTATCACAGTTACAGCTGTGGATTGGCAAAGAAATTGTTAGGCAATAAATTGTGATACATATGCCTATATGTATTGCGATGTATTGCAAGTAAATCATATTTTCTACATCAATTTAAAAGAGGAATTCAGATGATCACGAAATTGGTTATACGTTTTTAACCCAATATACTGGGACACATAGAAATATAGTATAATACATAAAAAGCAGTAATACCGTGGTGTCCTAGTCACAGTTTAGTCTTGTAAGGTCTAAAGTAAAGACAATAATGTTAAACAATTACGAAGAATAATGAATTATAAAACAAAATTGCAAATACACAATAAATTTTCCAACATATTTATTTTTTTTAAAATTTGCTCACGCAAAAAGACACGTGTTTGTATTGCCCGGTGAGATTATATAGCTGGAATATTGTTTACTGTGGAGGTGAACAAAAATGCATTTAAACAGTTAGAGGAAGTGGAAGAGCTGGCGAGAAAAGAGTCCAGGCGAACCAATGAAGCGCTGAAACTTGTAAAGGAACAGGGGGAAAGAGCAAAAACACTTGAGGCAGAAATGCAACACCTGCAGTTCGAGAAAGAAGAAAAGGAAAAGAGAGATAAAAAGTTAATGGTAAGTGTGAAATTATAAGTATAGGTATCTATAAATAAACTGTTGTCCGACAAGTCAACACATGTCTCAGATTGATATCATGAGCATCGATCTAAGCAATTGGGATCGATGGCATGTATCAACCAAGTCAGCGAGCCTGACCACCCGATCCCGTTAGTCGCCTTTTACGGCAAGTACGGGTTGCTGAAGACCTTTTCTACCCCGGAATCTTCACTCTCCCAATGTCATCTAGCAGATTGGGAGGTATCAAACATAAGGCACCGAGAACAGTGGAGAGTCGGGCAACTTGGTACATTTCGAAAGAGAGGTCTGCATATTTGCCATATTCTTCCTGAATCTTGTCAATCACATAATTGCCAAAAGGGAAAGCAAATTCAATAATATAATTGATTTCATTGGACAAAAAGGACAAGATCAAGATTAAATTCATAGCACAATCTACATTTTGTGTAGCCTCTCCCTAAAAATAGGCGCTTGGCTGACACTCATATTCGTACCGTCTAGCAGTACAGAACCATCAACAAAACCAACACTGACATTGCGATTATGTCCCACCTCCTTGGCTCGTTTACGATAACTGTGGAATGCCTTGTTTTCATCACGAGTCTTGACATGCGTCATCAGACAAATAAATGTGTGAAAAAGTGCACAATTCGACTCGGTCATGACGAACCTCCTCATTAATCAAACAACGCCCTCCCATTATGATTGGTAAATTTAAATGCCTGTAATGGTGTCAATAGCCCAAATTTCTTGTTTTGTCCAATCAACAACACCAAAAGAATATGAAAGAATTTATTGGTACATCATAAGTATTTGTGGATTTAACTTTTTTTGCAAGCGTTCAGCTCTGAACTCCAGATTTTCTTAAGTCTGCATTTGTACTCGGCATTCGGGAGTTTGTCCCTAACCTGTATCCCTAATTTCGCATAGGCCTTTCACGAGATGAACAATCACACCTCCTCCAAAACGTTCAGGACATACACAAGGGAGAGAAAAACATAATTGTACATATGTTCAATTTGACAGTGTAATGTAATGCATAGGCACACGGGCTTATATGTAAACCTGTGGAATATCATCATATTCATAAACTACTTATTGAGAATCTTGTTTTCACATTTCAGCAGTTTTCATGGGGACCAAAAAACAAGGCAGCAGGCCAGTGGACAACACAGGTACGAGAGAGAGAGAGAGAGAGAGAGAGAGAGAGAGAGAGAGAGAGAGAGAGAGAGAGAGAGAGAGAGAGAGAGAGACTTTGTCTCTGGAGTACACTCAGTTTGTATGTCTAGTGCAATACCGCCCCACACCATGACACTGCCTCGATACCGGTCAGGAAATGTGGTCATGCTCGCCTGTTTTTGTCATCTTGCAGGTCAAAATGTCTGCTGGTACTTCTGTCTGAACGACAGGACGCAGAATGTCGTCAATTATCCACTCACCAGTCGAAAGTCGATTTACAATAATAATCAAATCAGTTCGCCTTTCATTTATGATACTGCCCCACACTTAGACACTGCCTCCATACCGATCATACCGGGTAGGAAATGTGACCATGGCATATTGCTCGCCGCTACGTATTCTGCCATGAATCGGAGGCAAAACCTTGATTAGTCTGACAACATGGCAGAACGCCATTGGCGCACAACCCTTGGTGTTGCCGAGCTCACTCCAATATTTGCCGCCTATTGTGAACTGTTAGGGTCTCACCCTTCATGCGGGTTGCATGGAGCCAGTTTTTCATGGTAGATTTGCATGCCTGTTATTGTACTGATAACAGAAGCAGATTTGATTCCATTGCATAGTGCAATTTATGCAGTGAGACGATCTTGTCTAGATGTGATTGGCGGTACCTGTCCTACAGTTGAGAAATGAGTTTTTTTAATATTTTGTAAACATTTGGGCAATTTGGGCTATTGATGTATCCGCTATCTTTCCCACCAACAAATCGCCATTTTGTCGGTTCATCGATTGTGAGTTCCCCTATAGGCGCACAACCTTTGGCTTCTATGTGCACGAGCTGTTAGATTTGTGTATTTACAATTTCCTTGTGATTAGATGTTGCGACCAGATGCAACGGTATTGTAAATGTAGACCTCAACGATAGCTTCCTTCAAATCATTAGTTTCCTATTTTGTCAGTGGAATATGTTTGTGTCTATCTTGCTTTCAACTGAATACATTTCAGGAGTTTGAACAACTCCAAACGAAATTCTTTAAACACTTGAAAGACCCGGAAGGGAACCTGATACGTGCGAAGATCCTGATATTTGGTCCTACCGGTGCTGGAAAGTCATCCTTCTGCAATGGCTTGAGATCAGCACTGAAGGATTCTGACACACCTTCCAACTACTACGCCGTTGGTAATATCGGCACCACACTTACTAGCAGAGTGTGTACTTTCTCTGGAATAAATCTGGAATAATCCTAATTTCTCTTCACTGATTATTTATTGATAATCGTTTTGTTCACATCGTAATACTAAGACGCCTCCTCTGTCGTCATTGTGCTCTCTGATGATTTTATGTAGGTATCACACGTGTCCATCGCCACTGATGCTTGTTTAAAAAAACACCCCTCACCAACTATACCTATTAGCCGAAGTGTGCCTTAAAAAATAGTATACTAGTTTGTACCTTATGACGTGAATCATGTTCTTTGTTGCGTGTACATTGTTCAAAGTGTAAAACATACAAGGTGCCAGTGGATCCCACAATAATACCAAGCATAAACTATGAGCCTTGATGTTACAGTTCCAGGCTTCACGATACGGAGATCACTGGATTATTGACATGCCAGGAATATTTGAATCCGGTGATTTCAAAACGGAGAATATTGAAGCTATTGCATCCGGCAAGGTTCGCTTTGATGCCCAGGTAAGCACGACATAGTACATTCATCGAAATGGATAAGTTGTAGACAAATAGGTATGTAAACACTTTTTGTATATAAGCATTATTCACAATCTAGATTCATGTCCTTTTCTTTGTTTCAAGATAACTAAAACTCTGGAGGTGGAAGACGGCCAATCTCAACAAGAGGCACGAAGGGATGTGTCATGTGTTGTTCTGGTACTCCATCATAACATCGATCTGGGAGAAGAATTGAAACGTCAGCTTAATGTCATCATGCAATTAGGAGGAAAGGGTGGTAAGTTTAGACTGATGCCAGAACCCCAGTGCATGAAACAAAGTAAAAACGTTACTTTTTTATACGTTGTTGCTTTTATAAGTCAGTGTATTTTACTGTTAAACAATTATTGTAACTGTATTATGTCGGTTCTGTTGAGGATCGGTAGAAGCTCATTGCATTGCATTTTATTGGACAATGTTTAGTTGTCAGGAATGTTGTTCTATTTAATGTCAGTTAGTGAGTTAAAATTTAACGTCACATCCGCTATATTACAACCATATTGTGACGAGATAAAGTCAGACATTTGATAACAAAGAAATTCATACTAGTACAATACCTGTCGCCAACGGACAGTACAATAACTAGAATATCACAGATTTTAGTTAAAACTAGATTGAGAGCATATACAAGAATGAACTACGAACGGGTTGTAGATCGCCAGCAACCAAATTTAGGACACCACAATATTAATAGGAACTGTGGGGATTTACACTGCTACTGACCCGTGGAGAGTGAGTGAGTGAGTTAATATTTAAAGTCACATCAGTATTGTTTAAGCCATATCTTGACTTGAGCAAGTTATGCATTTATATAATATCCTAAGACCTGTCGTCGAAGGACAGTATAACAACTAGCAAAATATCACAGATTCTAATTGTAAAACTAATTTTAGAACAATAAAATATTCAGATTATAACAGACGACACAACATAAAAACGGGCTGTAGATCGTCAGCAACTGAAGGCAGACCACCATACTGGGGACCATGGGGACTTACAGTACCTTTGCTACCTGCATGGACCCCAGCATGATTTACATCATACCCTCAGCAACTGGCGATTGTATGCAAATAAAAATACAAATATTCTACGTTTAAGACACTAGTAGCCAGAAATATTCTTTGAATGACATAGACTTACAATATCCTCTTAGGGGGACAATAATTTTACACTACGTCAACCCCCTTTGAAGATACGGCCAGTAACAAACTCAGATATAATTTTGTTGTACCAATTTGTTAAAGGTCATTCATTTTATACAATACATATTATCACAATTTGTTAAACAATTCTATCTCTTTTAAAAACCCAATAACTAAGTGAGAATTATAAAAAAAGATCATTGAGAGATGATGTTTGAAATATTTATCCCTTGTGATGGCAAAATCAACACAATCAAGCAAGACATGCTTGACCGTGATTCTCTCACCACAAGGGATACAAAAAGGAGGATCTTCACCTTTAAACAAATATTCGTGAGTGTATCTGCTTTGGCCAATACGACATTGTCGTAAAATGACCTCCTCAAATCTGGACTGACAACGCAAGAAGGTATGACCGATATTTGGCTTAATTTCATGTAATGTATTGATACCTACTTGGGTGTCCCACTTCTTTTGCATCAGATCACGAATATAATATCTGATTACAGGTTTATAATCAGTGTAATGGATAAGAAGTGGTGTCACAGATTTGGTGACTGCTGCTTTAGCAGCAGCATCGGCCATTGTGTTACCAGTGATACCAACATGGCTTGGTAACCAACAAAAGACGATGTCGTACTGGCCAGTAGCAAGATCGTTATGTAGTTCAATTTTTTTTGTGGAAAATTGGATGTTTACAAGATATATTCTTAATTGCCTGAAGACAGGAAAGTGAATCAGAAAAGATAATGAACCGTTTATGTTTAGATTGAGTATTTATATATTTGAGAGCAGTTAATATTGCCTGTGATTCTGCTGTAGAAATGGAACTGTCATTCGGTAATCTAGACGTTATCAATATCTACATATAAACTGTTCATGGGAGAAGTCCTGAGGGGTCCAAGGCAGAGCCGTTGTCCTTGCTGATGTATAGAATCCAGTATTTTTAGATTGCTTTTGCATGCTTCCCAATAAACGACTGAGCCGTAATCCAGTTTTGAACGGATGAGAGCTCGATATAGTTGGAGGAGGGTCCTGAGGTCACCTCCCTACTTTGTATTTGAAACGACTTTATCAAGTCAAGTGCCTTCAAGCATATGGCTTTAAGGTATTGATGTGGGCTTGAAATGTCAAATGGCTATAAACAATAAGTCCCAGAAATGTGGCTTACTTTGAAATGTTATGTGTGCCATCCAAATATAGTACAGGGTCTTGATGTGGCCTATATTTTCGACCAAATGTATACAATTAGTCTTGGCTTTAAAACAATTAAGGCCATTTTCCAGTGACCAATTTTAAATTTTATTAAGACATCACTGTAATTGTCTTTCAATTGAATGCCTTTTTTTACCACAACAAAATATGTTAAATCTATCCACGAAAAGTGACCCATCTATAAAATCATTTAACACGGGTGGCCCAGTCGTCTGAGGCGCCGCGATTCGCTGAGCAGAGTTGCATGTCTTGGGCACGCCAGAAACCTATGATTGTGGGCTCGAATCCCGGTTCGCTCCGATTATGTTTCTAGGTTTGTCAGCACCATACCCGTGCTCGTTTCACCGAAGTAGTAAACGTCTGAGACCTGCATCACTTCGGGCTTTCCTCCCACATTAAGCTGATACGCCATGATATACCTGGAATAATGTTAAAAAAGCAGCTTTAAACCAAACTTACTCACTCACTAAAAAGTTGGATATAAATTGAGGCAAACGGCCTCTCAATCCAAAATCTCCTGCTGGGGTATCAAGCAGGTAGCCGAGGTACTGTAAGCCCCCATGATCCCAAGCGAGCTGCCTAGCTTTGGTTACTGGTGGCCTATAGCCTGTGTTTTAAAACTGTGTATATAATATTGCTATGCTCGAATATTAACTTGCTTCCGTCGCTATATGGCTGAAATTTTGCCGATGCGACATTAAATTTTAACTCATTCACTCACTCAAATCATAATCATGTAAATCCTTGTAAATCCTTTAAAATACCATGTTTCCAAAGAGTGTCGTAAGCTTTTTTTCTAAATCGAAGAAGATAGACACTACTTCGGCTTTTACGAAAACCACATTGAATATTTATGATGATATTATTGAATTCCAAGTACCATGTCAACCTATTGTTGACCATGCCGTGCCATGGTTTTGCAAACGCAGCTAGTTAATATAATGGGTCGGTAATTTAGCTTTCCCAAGGGCAGAATGAAGCTCATGAAGAGAAAATACTTCATTTTAATCTTCCCCATTATCTTCATCAAAGTTAATAGTATTCTTTTCCTGTCCTTTATGGTATTTTTGGAATTGAGGAACATAGTTAGATGAAGAAGAATGTCCAGCTAAAGTTTCACAAAGTTTATTAGCAATATCTGATTCATTAGTTAACAATTCATTCCCATTTTTATTGGTTGGTTGGTTTGTTGTTTAACGCCGCAATCAGCAATATTCCAGCTATATGACGGCGGTCTGTAAATAATCGAGTCTGGACCAGACAATCCAGTGATTAATATCATGAGCATCGATTCACGCAATTGGGATCGATGACATACATCAACTAAGTCAGCGACCCTGACCACCCGATCCCGTTAGTCGCCTTTTACGACAAGTATAGTCGCCTTTTACGGCCAGTATGGGTTGCTGAAGACCTATTCTACCCCGGATCTTCACGGGCCTCCCATTTTGATAATGGTGGATACCAGATTTAGATACCTCACCTTTGATATTTTAATCAAAACAAGTATTCTTTTCCTGCTGTTTATGATATTTTTTGGACGCGGGATATGACTTATTATTGGTCATTTTTTGTGGCACATGACAACGGACTTTTATCAACTAAACACCCCTTCGTGCAATATTGTCTTTCGCACTTTTAACAGATGCACTCAATTTGATGTATTAGCTTTTAAAGTGGTGATCCTCACCAAACGTTTAGTAGTATAAATGTTTTCATTCAGGAGAAAGCAAACTCTTTTGGATAAGTACATGTATTAGATCCAGAAATCAACATCTTACATATATATGTATAAAATTATTGTCAAAGGGTTGAAGACAAAATGTCAAGGTCACTCCTTTTGGAATAAGTATTAACACATGATCAGTGGTATGTGTTGTTGTTTGTGATGGTCATTACAGTATACTATAGAGTCTGTTCTTGTGTAATTCCGCCTGTGTTGATAAAAAGTTTCGTGTTTCAGTCCTGTCCTACCACCTGGTGCTGACTCACCTGGATGAGTGTGACCCGCAGTTCAAGGATCCAGATAATCTCCCCAACCTGTACAATTCACCTCTAGTACAGGAAGCAGTGAAGAACATGTCAGAACAAACTGGCATTCAACCATGCTCCATCAGTTACGTCAAGAATTATGTGACGGAAACAGAAACAGACACAAAGACCAAGCTGCTTCACTTGAAAGCTCTTGACAGAATCCTCAACTCTGCAGCTGACCAAGTGGAGAAGATAATAGATTCAAAACTTCAGTCGAGCATGTATGATGATGCCCCTGACGCCTAGGAGAGAAAGCTGCATCTGCCGGCTGAGAATGTTGTCCGCTGTGGTATATATGTCTGCCCAGCGAATGTAAAACCATGCTGTGTTATGTAAATAGAGGCGCTCGCGCATTATATTCATTAGTGTTCTTCACCATGGACATCATGGTGTCTTGAAATATTAAATAAAAACTAATACGTGCATGGTATTATCAGAAGAGAAAGGAAACAACATATTGATATTTTCAATCTTTGAACTCCACAAGACAGTTTTGAATACAAAACTGCGACCAAACACATATAATTACGAAAGGATGTGATGTTTGTGACAAAACATTCTAAACTCTGGAGTACATCAAATGTAAATAGATAAACAGTTTGTAACGTTACAGAACTACTATGCGTTGGAAAATAAATCACCAGTTTGACCGGTCAGGCATTTTAAGTCATAATCAACAACACTTTGACAACCAGTAGATAGTCTAATCTGATGAGAGTAATATTTGTAGGTTGTGACGTCTTGTGATGATTTGTAGTTCTGCTTCAGTCAATGTTCTCGTGATGCGTATGAAATAGATGTGCACCATTTAGATTATTCTCATTTATTCACGCTCTCTGCAACATATTCTCATGATATGCTTTTACACCTTATTCATTATGGCCAAATTTCTTAAGACATCGGACCGAGCGAAAGCAGTTTCAGAAGAATAGAGATACCCTGTCCGATGTCACATGCGTTTTCGTCTCCGCATCATTACACCTGTCGGGGTATATAGTATATGGATTCTTTTCCGTTAGGGTTCAAGTTTCCATACTAATAGGAGAGGTGCAGTGCAAAGTTTGATTTTAATATTTTGATTTTCTGAAACATCCTAGCTATTTTTCGTGTTTTTTTTAACTTAGAATTTATTTCTATACCAATTGGAGAACTGTAGTGAAAGTTTGGTTTCGATAAGTGGATTTTCTACGAAAATGTTTTGTACTTTGAAACATGTTGGAGTCGAAGTCGGGGGTACAAGTGAGCCCTGCACACCTTTTGCCTTGATCCGTATGGTAGCCACGAATGATGTAAAATGTGTTCATGTATTAATGTTTTATGTATTACTGTTTAATGTGAACCTGTTCATAAAGGATGAGTGCATTCATGGGTGTATTCCAAAAGTCTTCTTTCTCCATAAAAGAGGGTAATGAGTGATTATTACGTATGTACATACAATTTCACTCCATGAATGAGTAGTAACGTGGGCTGTTTACAAGACAGCGAGAAATAACCATGGTCCATGATCACATGCTGTTGTATCTTGACAACTGGTGGCTACGATCTTTCTTGTAACTAACGGGATTTTGTATTAGAAGACTAGAAGTGTTAACGCAAGTATTAAACATGTTTTGAGCATTTGTTATAAGGATGGTGTCAACGTGAACTTTTTGTGCTTCTATGCTCATCGATGTGTGTATGATTATAAGTAAAGCTTTCTTGTTATAATCACATTATGTAATGCTGCTGTTAGTCGTGTGGGCTTGTTGTATACTTGTTCTTTCAATAAATACCATTAGAAAAATGTGTGATTCGTGTTGTACATTAACACACGCGGGAAATTATTTGCAGGCGTTTTCCTTCCTAGTTGCACATATTTGAAAAAATGGTACAGGGGAATTTCATTGACATCATTTTGGTCACTGATGGAACAATTTTATAAAATTCTTAGACATGTCCACCAGGAAACATTGTGAAAGCTTTACGTAGGCCATCCTTGTTGTAGCCTTCATTCTAACACCACTGTGATATTATGAACTAGCTCGTCTGTGGATCAGAACACACCCAATACTCATTCTAACACCGCTGTGATGACACGAACTGTCCTGTCTGTGGATGTATCAAGACACACCCAACACATCACTCATTCTAACACTCCTGTGATGACACGAACTGTCCTGTCTGTGGATGTATCAAGACACACCCAACACATCACTCATTCTAACACTCCTGTGATGACACGAACTGACCTGTCTGTGGATGTATCAAGACACAGCCAATACATCCCTCATTCTAACACCGCTGTGATGACACGAACTGTCCTGTCTGTGGATGTATCAAGACACACCCAACACATCACTCATTCTAACACTCCTGTGATGACACGAACTGACCTGTATGTGGATGTATCAAGACACAGCCAATACATCCCTCATTCTAACACCGCTGTGATGACACGAACTGTCCTGTCTGTGGATGTATCAAGACACACCCAACACATCACTCATTCTAACACTCCTGTGATGACACGAACTGTCCTGTCTGTGGATGTATCAAGACACACCCAACACATCACTCATTCTAACACTCCTGTGATGACACGAACTGACCTGTCTGTGGATGTATCAAGACACACCCAACACATCACTCATTCTAACACCGCTGTGATGACACGAACTGTCCTGTCTGTGGATGCATCATGAGACACTCATTATATTCTTTCCCATCCACAATTTTAATTCCTAACCGAACCTTACATATATTGCGTTCAGGATTTACCTGACGTACTTGTATTACATGTTGTAAGATGTACACGTCTATGTAACGTTGTGCATTATCAGTTAGGCAACCATTTTGCAAAACAACGTCTTGGTTGAGCCGTTATTTGGTACTTTGACAACAACCTAGATTGTCACCTTGGCCACAGCAATACACAACCTATGAATTGGACACAGTTAGCGACGTGTCTGCTTTGCATTGTATCGGTTCCCCTTAAATATGTTGTGGTCGCTATAAACATGCCTATTGTAGATTTTCCTGAACACACATAATGTTCATCTCCTATAGAATCATGAACAACATGTCGATGAACAAAGACTAGTATGATGTTATCAATGCGGTATAATAATTTCATAATATCCAGCGGCGGTTTCCATAAACCCTGAGCATTAATGAATCTTTGTGTGTATTCGTAACAAAGCAAGCAGGGTTTGGCAGTTTTAAATAATTAGTGACATCATAATGTGATGTTTTCTAAGGAACACTTCAGCCCTCCCCACTAGAGATTGTCAAATGAACTAAATACGTGCAACCCTGGCATAGTCACAGCAATGCGATACGATTAGCTCTCTTAACTCATAAAACGTAGGGGTTATTAAGATTGCAAATCACAGTCCCCATTCTTAATTTAATTTAAGAGGCCGACTTCACTTACCGCCACTTACAGCACACACGTTTTATTGCATTATAACATTCATTCAGCTTGGTTTGCTCCAACTCGTCGATTTCACAACAATATCCCGATGGTGACGGTGTAGCAGAATTTTAATTTATGTACTCACATACCCCTTTAACGCTACGTTTCCTCACGATACGGAACTCACATTTTGGGTAAAGGCATAATTTAATCTACCCCTTGACTTGACTCAATGTTCAAGGTGTGAAATGAGAGTACTATTTTACCTCGTGATGTTTGAGGACATACACATAGTATCGATTTACCTCGTGATGTTTGAGGACATACACATAGTATCGATTTACCTCGTGATGTTTGAGGACATACACATAGTATCGAAGGTTGAGTCACGTTATCAGCTGTGAAGGACAGCCGATAGAGCATGAATGTACAGACGACGTCACAAATATAAGCCGCCATTAGACCTCTGTAAAGGTCATCAGTTCTTGGCGTATATACGATCATGTTTTTGTCTTATGCACTCATTCATCCTTATCTCAGTCGAATATTCAAGTAACATTTATTATGTTGAAGAGTATATTTGACATTTCTGATACTCTTTCTAAAACCAGTGTGATGTGGGTACACTCAGAACAAGATAAAGCATGTAATTTTTAGCGACAAAACCATTTCAATAATCATAAAACAATCTAATTTTAAGAGTCCATTCCAGGGTTTCAGTAGGTAACCAGCAACAACAAAGAAATCGTATAAATTAACAATTGCATTATAATATGATTAAAACATATTTGTATTCAATGAATCTGGATGGGTAAACATGTGAAAAGGCAGCACAAGTAATATTCATGAAGGCAAGCAAAACTATACATGATGATAACATAAATACATTAACCAGAGCAAGTGGTCATGGACAACTGTTTGGTGTAATGAGAAGAAAAAAATAATATATCTTCGGGATGTACAGAGTCATGTTAGTTTAAACCTTTTTCAATGAAGTATGTACGAATGTACTTATTTTAAGATATCTAGATTAGTAGGGAATTTTTAAAAATTTGCATTACCTTTTAATCTAGTATTAAGATCGACTCCCTCAGAAGAATGAATAATGTCTCACATTATTATCAAAGGGACAGGGAAAGGGATAGTGCGATACATTTTTATACCCATATCCACAAGAACAAGCTGCATTGTCATAGTATTTCATAATATTAACAAGGTTTACAAATTACTGCACACAAATTACAATGGCAGTACACGATATAGTGGCAGTATAAAAGCAGTGGTAATAATATTCACCTAGCGGCAACAGTGGCCAAGCTTCCAAAAATAAGACCGAGGCAGGATATCCAATGTGAGAACAACGATCTTCACACATCCGACGATCGTCAGATGTAATGTGAAGGATGTGTTCTATACAGTGCTTGATGAGTCTAGCTGTTCTAGAAGCATCCAGAATACACCGGACTCAAAAGTGTCTTAATATATTGTAAGAACACAATTGCTTTTATTGGATTGTAATATACATTCACGAAAAGTAGATATCATAACTCACTAGGTTTCTTGACTGACCCTTAAATTTGTACTAAATGCAGAAATGACACTGTTTAAAATTTATTGCAAGGAAAAAATCTTCTTGAAAGCTTAAAGAAGAGCAAACTGAGTAAGGATAAGAAATTTATGGATGAATAACTTCTTTATTACAATTAAGAGCGACGTTTCGGTGTAGGTTCTAACACCGTTATCAAGCAAGTGATTTACAGAGTGCAGTAGGCAAGTATATATACACGTAGGAGGCAATGTTTATACAGTAGAGTAGATATTGTTATACTGGAGTAGAGAAGCCTGTTGTGTACACACAAGGGCAGTGATGATAACCATCGGTGAAGTCAGTGCCATGAAACAATGGATGAAGCCAGTAATGTAGCTCTTAATTGTAATGAAGACGTTGTTCATCCATAAACTTCTTATCCTTACTTAGCACTCCAACTTCTAAATGCCTATCAAAGAAGAGCATACTGGCTTTTCACACCAAACTGACCGCAATACAGGGTAAGCCGATTTAAAGCACATTAAACTAACATTTTTCAAAACCATTAAAGATAGGCTGCTACAGGGTGTTGCTGTTTACCCATGACAGTTCTAGATTTAATGACAATGATACAAGTCCTTAAACCGTGTGGAGATAGAACTCCATTCAACACACAATCTGTGTCGCTCAGATATTATTTTTGTAGTGTTTTAGGATTGGTGTCAATTGCTTGGACAATATCACCTCTCACTTTTAAGTCATAGCCAGTCTTCTGCCTGTCGTTGGCTGTCTGAGATGCTCTGGCTGCAAAGTCATAAGCCTCTTGATGGTTTTTTTCGGTAGGGAATATCAAACACAATGGCGACTGGCTATGGGCATGGACTAGTGAGGCAACGTAACTCTTCCAGTCTGTCTTCTTGTCTTGCTCGAGAGTTCCTAGCATGCTTCCTAGCATTCCTAGCATCCTGTAAAAAAACGGGCTACCATCCCATTGCACATTGGTCGATACGGAGTAGTTCTTATTTTCTCCATTCCCAAGATAGTACACAGCTCCTTCATCAGACTTCTCAAAATTAGCTGTGTATCCCTAGCTCTCTTAAGGATCTGTCCAAAACGGTCCAGATGTTCTTGTGGAGACATGAACTTGAACCATGATCGTCTCATCATGATGGACTTTGACAACAGTAGGGGCAATGACAGATGGGCTTGCAGAGAAATTGTAGTCCGTTGTGCAACAGCACATGTGTCTCTGTAGGCAATAAGATTGTACGAGTGTCTCTGGATAACTCTCTCAGTGTTAGTAGGAACGGTGAAACGACTTCGAATCTTACCCAATGAGTAGTTGTGTCGTGCAGGTTCCCTCTCTTTTAAGAGCAAATTCCATGGTCTTTGAATATCAGCCTTTTGTAGAAATTGGTTTCCATACTGTTGCTTACATTCATCCATGTAGCAAGATAAGATATTTGTGACTAACAGCACTGGGACTGTGGTGTTGTAAGGGGTATCAGGGACAAAAGCATGAGACAAGGAAGCTTCGCTGTGGTTGCACCTGTACCCTGAACTTCAACTTCTATATACCCTATATATGTGGAGACTATGGGAAACTGTTGACCCAGTATCTAACAGGGTTCTTGTCTCTTTACCATTAACGGAAGTTGTTCCTTCGTCAGGTTTACCAATCAGCTTGAATACTTGCTGATTACAGTTGGGTGGGCGTCTATGGTTTGCCCATTCCCATAGGCATCTTCTTGTTTGCAGTAATGTATGTGTAATGAGTATATAACTGGTATGTGACAATATGTGTTATGTGACACCGTGATGTTTGTGTAATGAGTATATAACTGGTATGTTACAATATGTGCT